GGAGGACCATCTCTTGTCCTTAGTCCCCAATAAGTCATTGCAGTTCTGATGTGAGCTGGATCCTCTCTGCTTGAGCATTCAGAACAACCTTGTTGAGTGGACAAAGAGATGTTTGGTGCTTCATCCTGATGGGTCTTGTCCTCAAAAGAACCAAAGAATTCAGGGGGCAGCAGTATGGTGTTCAAGGAAGCTTCAGTAACAGCATGTGAGGCCCCTGTGTCGTCACCAGCAAAGAGTTTTCCTTTCCCCTTTTTATCAGAACCTTTGCCTTTATCCTAAACAGAGCCGGTAAGCTGATCTCCATAGTTATCTGTAGCAGCCTTGGCTTTCTTCTTAACTGGTGGATCTCCATAGTTATCTGTAGCAGCCTTACCTTCAGATTTTTCAGGTCCATAACAGCTCCCACAGTCATCAAGAAAGGCATTATAAGGATTAAGGGCAGGTGCTTATCCACTTCCATCTGTACAACCGCAAACATTCACCAGCTATAACCACCGATTCCTTATTCATAAGTTTCTATCCAAAAGAATAAGAGAGCAGTCAATAATCATAGTTTTTCATCTAAAAGAGGTCAAAATGAACTTTTCTCCTACACTGTAAATTTTGTTGAAATAGAAGAAGAAACAAGAAAACAACTAGAAGTGTCCTCTGCATCAGACTGATAATATCTCCAGTAAGTTCCGCAATAAAGAATATCACAAAATCTTTCTCCTTTGGGTAGTTGTAACGCTGCACCAAGTTTTTTTAGCACTTGTAAGGCAGTAGCTTGAACCTGCAGATATTCGAACTAATATTGTTGAGAACTTGATAATTAGTGGCTGAAATCGTATATGACGAGAAGGCAAGTCTCAGTTACTTGCATATTGGGATCTCTAACTACTATTGCTGCTACACCAACATGGCTATACATATAGAATTGGTATCAGTTTCATCTCCCGGATAATCAAAATCGTTTGGGCCTGAAGTCCAAATAGATCAAAAGTGATCTTCCAAACGGGATGGACTAGAAGTTCAATGACCCGAGAGATTATATAAAGATCATACGAGTT